TTTTGAACGTCGAAAGTTAAATTTAGTTTTGTGGTATTTGTGGAACATTTGAAAAAATGTGGTATTTGTGGAATATTTAAAAAATGATTGTATTTTTGGAAAAAAATTTTCATTTAGTAGTATTTGTGAGAATTGCCAAAAAAAAATATATATATTTACGCTTGCATTCGGTTAATTCGGTCAAGCCAAACTTCATAAAATATTCCATAAGAGTATGATTTGAGTCAATAGAAGTAGGAAATTTATTAATTAAATTACCATAGAGTATAGATTGACTCAGTAGATGTAACCAAATTGTCTTTTAAATTTGATTGACATCATCATCAAAACCATAAAATTGTTTAGTCTATAATTGCTGGTCCTAGCTATTTGTAAAATATAGTAGTAAATCTTTAAAAATCTCAAGCTTGGAAGAAACTCTATATACAACGAAAACAATACTATGTCTATACCTAACAAAAAGAAATGGCATCAAAAACAACTAACCTCTTCCTCATTGTCCTCGTTATTGTCTCGTGTAAGCTTCTTTAACTCTCTTTATCCCATTGATCCGATTTTTTTTCCCAATAACAAAGATAAAATAAATGTTTTTTTTTTGTATGATTTTCACCGTGACAGTCTCTAACTTTGGATTGATTTTCTTATATTGGATTTTAAAGTGGACAATCGGATCAATAAGAAAGAAAAAAATGCATTACATTTTTTTCTACTCGCCTCAAAGACTTTTAAATATTAGTTTCACTTATCATATGGTTTTGTTACCTAACAAATTGTTTTACGGGATTATTTGTAGGCGTCTCTATCTCGCGTGCTAGAGAAATAGAGTCACTAGTTATAGAGACAATGTGTGAAGGAGAATGTAAACCCAAGCAGCAACCGATAGAGACAAACCAATTTGGGAGTTGCAAAACTGATGGAGATTGCCTCAAAAAATGCTTCCCTTCTTGTAGAATTAAGAAGTGTTTTGGTGGTTCATGTGCGTGTAATATTTGTTGAAGCATACAATTGTTAGATTTGAAATTTTACTTAATAAAAGATAAACAAAAAAAAATATTTACTAGGCATTACATATTTAGGTCACTAAAAGACAAATTCATAAATCAAGAAACCACTTTTGGTCGCAATCCCCTTCTGAAAAAGTCTAGTGGTCTTTGATTGTCAATGTGAATTCTTAATTGGTCAGTTTTCCCTTTCATTTAAAATTCATGAAGATTTGTTGCATGATGCGGCGATGATAAAATTATATGGTAGAACATTTCATTTGTGGAGATGCTCCACATATTAGTAAAGCTCAAATGCGTAAAAGAAGCTACTTGTAACTCAAAATCAAGGAAAATAGCTTTTCTGGGAAACATTAAGGATATATGCTTTCCGTAAAACATGTGCATGTTCCTTAATCGTCGTATAAACACGATGCACTACGCCAGTTGATCCATTCCACAATATTCTCTTAACGATGTCAAATTAAAACTTGGTTTCAAGAGGACAATTTTACCAATATTCTTCTTTTTTTTTTAACTGAATGTAAAATT